ATTCTATATATTTATTTATACTTCATTTATATAAAATATCTAAATATATATATATATAAATAAACTTGCACAACCCTATTCATTTTCAATATCAACAACATTTGTCTTAAAACCAGATGACTTTCTAGTATTGTGAACTACTTTATAAACAGCTCGTTCTTTATCTTTCTTGTTATTTTTACCCTTTTTTTTAATTTTACTATTTCTCTGACTCCCATCTTTATTGTTTTGCTTAATTTCATTCAATTTATTATCAACCTCAGTATTTACTAATTTATCATTACTATCCAAACTATTCACATTACCACCTATTGACATATCTTCTTTATCTCTTCAATTTTGCTATGCTATAACAAATAAATCTATTTAATTATAAACTAAATATTTAAAATTAAATTAAACCCAGATATAAACCTTGAATATTTTTTCAGATTCTTTACAAATATTATGATAAATTGACAAAAGCTTAGAATGAGTTGACTTCACTAATGATGGAACTTTACCATTACTAATGTCATATTCTCTTTTCTTAAGATTAAATCATATGTCTACCTAATTAATATCTTGTGTATAAATGTATATTACATTATCTATAAACTCTAACTGACTGACAACAAAAACCACTATCTTCTTAGGACAAATATGACTTGTTAATTCTCTAAATTGGGATTCTAAGTATTGAAATACAACAATAACTATAAAAGTATAATTCTTATAAGAATAATCTTTACTAAAACTTTAATAATTGCATTTTCTCCATGCTTAAAATCAGATGCCTCTTGAACAATTCCAACTAATGAAGCTTTTAAAGAGTATTTATTTGATCCAACAACTTTACTCAAAATTTTAAGATGTTTAGAAGTTGAAGCTGTCATCTAAAAAAATAAATTAATAACTTAGTACAACAGAACTAACAATTTTAATACTCTATTTCTTTTACTAATTTATAATTTAATCCCATAACAGTATTTATAAATTGAGTACTACCAAAAAAAAATAGACTTTAAGTTTTGAATTTATTATTTATCATTTACCAACTTTAATCTAATGTTACAATATCTCACTAATTCTAGTAAATAATAAATAATAAATTCAAAACCAAATCTTATTTCTTTCTAACAACAATCAAATAAATATAAATTTATATCTAAATATAATTTGTTTTTAATCTATTGTTAAATGGGATTTTTATAATAATTAATAAATAAAATTAAAATTACTCTTGGTCTTATAGTATCATTATAACTATCAGGTACAATATTGCCTCTAATAGAAAAGTATTCATCTTTTTGAAAATTACTTGTATATCATGGTCTCCTTCTTCAAAATCAACTGGCACAAACAAAATTAACTCTATCTCTTTATCTTCATTCCCAACAAGATAACAACCAATAGCCCATACAATTAACTGATCATCTTTTTTACTTTCTCTAACAACTTTAATTTTTATAATTGTATCTATATTACAAGGCATAAATAAATAAATTTTTTCATAAAAAAGTAAAAAAACTTTTAATATATTTTTAAAAATTTATATATACTTTTTACATAAATTTTTTATTAAATATTAGTCTAGTGATGATACCTGTGTTAGATATTACTCAGATTATCCGCAGATAATAAGATTATCTGGGTTGAGATAAGAATATCCCAAATAAAGAAATGATAATTCTGATCATGCATATTAGTTCTGCTAATTAAAATCATAAATTTTATCATGTGAAAAATATCACATGTTGATTAACCAATCAAATTGTAAATTTTTATAAAATGAAAGAAAATGAAAATTCATTAAAAATTTATAGAAATTTGTAGCTAAAAGTTCTAAAATTTAAAATAAATACTATTAACTGTTACTGTTAAATAAGCAAGTATGTATTTATTAATTTCAATTAAATTTATTAATTTTTTCATAGTATTTATTTTTAAACTTCAATAAAATAATCTATGTATATATGTTTAATTCTATGTTTAATTCTATGTTTAATTTTAGTCTAATTTTACATCTACTTAAATTTCTAATCTCCTATACTACACTATCTTACAAAACTATAATTTTAATAAGAAATCTTCATGATTTTAATATATGTTATATATAAACTGCTTATTGTATCTTAAATACTCCTATAGTGATAATATTAAGATATTGCGTAGTTAATTAATATTATTTATATATTCTTAACTTTTTAAAAGGTTTCTATATAATATGTATAATAAAAAACTATATAACTTAATTTCTTCCTCCTATACTATCATTGTTAACTATTATTTTAAGTTTTTTTTACCTTTTTTCACACAATAAATGAGATTTTGTCAACATAGTGATCATTATTTTCTATAACTTTGGCAGGCAAAATGTAATAAGGAAGTTGTAGGATTAAGAAGGATTAAACGAATATGTTGTAAGGCAAGGTGAGAACTTCAAGTTCATCTATAATTTACCTTATTTAACGAAAGAGATAAGCCACCTAAGCTTCTAAAAAAAGTATTATAAAACATATAAAAAATTTTCTTAAACAATTGTATAACAATCAGATCATCATTTCTATATTTGGGATATTCTTATCTTGAATATCCGGGTTGTAAACTCAGCTATCCAGATATGCTTATCTGAATAATACCTGAGTAGACGTATCTAGTGATGCAAATGGCTTGGCTCAGCTCAGCTTACGGCTTGCATTGACCAAGCTGAGCTGACCAAAATCAAAGCTAAGCTATTTATAAGCCAATTAACCTTGAGCTAAGCTAAGCCACAAGCCTGCTATCCTATATAAGCAAACTATCCAATCAGACACGAACACGAATTCTAATATTTAAATTTGAAAGTTAGCATTTGAAGGCTTCTTTTTGTTTTCTTAATATTATAGCTGTTCTTATAAATTTTGGGATAAATGAACTGCTGGTTATAATTATTTTTGTTTAAATATTGTATAAAAAATAGCATTAAACTAGCATAATCATTTATAAGATGAAGAAGCTTCAACAGAGTAGCTCTTTAGAACTGAATGAACATCTTCTATATTAGTAAACATCATACCAATTCGCAGTGCATTACTTGATATTATAGTGGTTTGTTGTAACAATAAGTAATTTTATGCAAAGAAAATGAAATTTATTAATTTTTAAAAAAATTTCTTTTCTTTCTAATTTATAATCAATAGTTACATTTTTTATGCGCTTAAAATGATCAAGCCACAGGCTTAAATAACATCACAGTTATTTTGGGCCCTTATACATATATAATATTTTTTATAGCACGCAATTTACTTTTTTTTTAGCAGAATATTTGCCACTAATGATAAAGCTTATACATTACCATGTTACCTAAACTATCAAATAAAATAAAATTACAGTATTTTCATTGTTTATTATTGGATTATGGTCATATGATACAAATTAATCAGCTTTTGACTTCATATTTGCTTTAAGGGTCTAGAGCTAAGCTGTTTTAGAACTGATACCTTATTAGTAAACCCAGAGCCAAGCTATTAATCAGCTCAGCTTAGCTATTTGGCTTTTGGCTTGACTCAAGCTATTTGCATCACTAAACGTACCTGGATAATTTTCAGGTAACAAAAGTTTAAATATTTATATAGACTATCCAAGCTAAGTAAATATAAATAAATAATAATAAACTTAATACTTCAATATACTTTACAAAAAGTTATTTTTAAAATACTATATTTTTTTTGAAAGTTATGTGTAGCCTAAAAAGGGTTAAGCAATCAACCAAAATAAAGTAGTGTTTCGATAAAAGAAAACCCATATGTTGTTCAATCGAATTATTCAAAGATAAGTTTTTGGAATTGATTTAATCAATATTTTAATTAGTTATTTAGAGATAAGCTAACACTAACTTAGTTTTTATATGAATTACACCAATATGATTGAAGTTCAGATTTTTCTTCTTACAGTGACATAGGTTTATATAGTTTACAAGTGTAATGTTATTATTTTTATTACTTGAGAAATTCTGGTTGGGCGGTTGGATGTTTTTTTATTAATTTAAACTAATAGACTGAATTTCATGAAGCTAAAGTCTTTTAATTTCTAAGGCATTCTTGAAAGGCGTTCTACTTATTCAGGTATTATAACCATGATTTCAAGTTTTTTAATTAATTTTTGAATCAGTTAAATTGTAAGACATTATAAAACTATGTTGAGTTTAAACCTATCGGTAACTTAACAAGTACAAGAGTAATTTGCAGCTATAATAAATATGTACTAATCCATTATCTAGTAAATTCTAAAATTAGTGTATTTTAGTGAATAGGCTTACAAAACCTGCATTTCTTTCTGAATAATACAAAATTTTTAATTTATCAAAATTGGAATACTAATAGAATGATTTATCTTTATGTCAGAGGTTGTTATCAATATGAAGCTAGAAACGACAGCCTTAGATAGACCTGGGTTTATATATTTATCGTAGACTTAATTGTAACTTTAAAAAAATTATGCTAAATTTGTAAATCTTTAGGTCTAATGTGAGATGATTATATAGAACTAGTTGATCAAACAATCAAAAATGATCTACATTAGAAACATATTCAAATTTTTAATTTATTTTGTTAGAGCGGTATTAGAGCGGTGTGACTGATAATGTTCAAAAAAAAAAGATTGATAGTCTTACATTTTACGTATTATTAATGGCCTAGTGCAATTTTTATGTAAACACGACTACACCAAAATTACGTCAACAGATTTTAATATAAATGTTGTGATTTTAGTGTTAATGACTTGAAAAATTTGAATTTTTTTTTGTTTAAAATGGTTAACAATATGAAAGAGTTATTTAGCTGTGTTAATAATATTGAGACAGATGGTGCTGAAATTTGTAGATTCAACAAGTCAGGTTTCAGTTCAAATAATTTTTGTAGGTCTTTATATTTTGATTAAATATTAATTTTTTTTAAATAATTACTTGATGGATATATCGCATATTGATAAAAATTAGCATAAATAAACACATTGTAATCATTTGAAGATAAAGTAATCGGTTAGACACAAATTCTTACATTTTAGCTGTTTTCTTTTTTTAGGTTTTCTGTTCCAGTAACGTTGTGCAGCTATCTAGTAAAGTAAAAGTATTAACCTTACCCGGGTATATCAGGTAGGATTTTATACCTGGATAAATCTGTTGATCACCTGGGTAACCCGCCGGGTATACCATTTTTTCAATCGGATACGATCACTATGTTAATGTCTTTATTTGGAATTTAAACCTTGGTTATTTAACCAATTCAAAACAAATCATAAGACAAGCCATTTTTTTGACTTGGTTCAAATTTATTCCTGCAATTGTTAAATGATTGATTATTTAGAACTTGTAATTGTGTAAAATGGCTGACTCTGAGAGGGCTATAATTATGTAAATTTAACAATATAAAAATATAAAATGCAGTTCTGTTTTATTGTAATTGTTTAAATTGTTTTAACCTGGTTAATTTGGTTAAATAACTGACTCATTGGTTCAAATAGTTAATTATTATTTACCTGGTTAAATTAATAACACTGATGATCGACGCATCGGTATACAGAAAGTTGGTGATAAAATCTGTTGCCTGCATGATATAAGTGGGCAAATATAAATAGATCAATAACTAAACTTTAAAATATTTAAATTCTAGCTTAAATTGGTTAATTTCTATACAAAAAACGCAAAATTGATGATCGACAAATCGCATCGGCATACAGTAGATATACACTAGCAAAGTTATCAACACACACAAAGAATATCAGGTGTTATTAAAGAAATTTTGTAAAATTACACTAATTTACTTATTATATTAAAACTAATTATGTTAGCAGTGTTACTAATTAACCTATTGCTTCTGTTGAATTCCTGTTAGTAAGTATTATTAAATTTACTGCA